TTCTTGACCAAGGAGTTTCCTAACTATATAATAAACATAAAATGGATGACAAATACAAACATTGAAGGAAATGAAATAATCTGAATGATTTCCCAATGAACATTTTCAACGGAAAATCTCGCGTGATAGTAAATCTGATTCACAACATTTTCAATGAGAACCCGTGTGCAAATCTTATTTCCGTAGACTTAAATGGATACTCGTTATAAAATTAGAAAAACCTACGTCACAATAACCTACTATTGTATGTGACGAGAATTAGCATTGTAAATTAAATTATCTTTAGATATAGATCGATTTGTATATATATATATATATATAACTAAGATACATTTTTAATATTTGTATGTGTTAGTATAATACATCGTCGTAGGTAATAAAAGTGCACGTCAATTGTTTTTTGATATAAATCTAAGTATGTTAATAACCATATACTTTTATTTCCGTGATAGCGTCACGAGAGTGCTACGGTATAATTCCACGTGACGTCTTAAAATAAGCTACCACAGCGAATAATTCCTATATAAAATTAGCCTTTAATATATTTACTAATAGAAATGTAACTAAATATTGTTGTTAAAATTTCTATTGTATAATGTGGTGGCATAAAATTTTATATATAATCCCTAGTTGTGTTGTTTATTAAAAATTCAATTCATAGGTTTTAACATTTCTTATATTGGGAAAATGTGAATAAAATAGGTTTTAATTTTTCTTTTACAAAAAACATATTGGAAGGTAGGAGGAAATGTCGGATACATTTTCATTTGAAAGAACTGCCCGAGTCTGATCTGGAGTAATAGGATTTTGAATAAAATGGCGTACGTACTATATATTGATTTTAATCCCGGAATCAGAGAATTTTGAGAAAACTAAAAAGTGTAACATACGTACATACATACTATATTAAAATGTTTATTCCTCAAACTAATGTATAATGTTACTATCAAATTTGCTTTCACAATTATTATTATTGGTACTAAATTTAGAATTGTAAATTAATAATTCATATAATTTAATATTACATATCCTGAACACAGCGCACCTGTCTAAATACGTGTTTTCGATGTTTGTTCTGAAGTTCATTTATTAAACTAACTGTCTGTCCAGGCTTCATTTATTGTATTTAAGAGGAAAATGTAGAAAGATCTTACGAAGTTAATAAAAATATGAATTAATATTTTTGATTGTATATTTAATTAACAACATTCTTTTTATTATATTGTGCTTAATTTTAAAGCATACATTTCTCAGCTTAGCAAATATTTTCTTTGTAGAATTTAAAATCTAGAATGTCTGAAAACTACACTTACTATTTATAATATTTATATATATATAAATTCATAATAATGTTTTTATTTTTAATACATTTTTTCTTGATGTGTAAAGCTATTGTAGAAAATTTTGAACTCGATATCATTAAGAGTCGTGGTTAGTTTTGTTTGGAAAGTAAAGATTTACTGCAATTTTTAAAGCAAAATATGGCTCTACAGTTCGTCAAAAGAGTAGATTCAAGATATATATATAACTATAAATTTCATATTATTACTGTTATTTAATTATATGAAATAAATTCCAAATGATCTCATAGTCATAGACATATATATCTATCGAATAACATCGGGACATACCATTCTAAATTAATCATAGTCTTGGCTTGGCATGTATGGCATATGAGTACAAATGTATTTATCCCATGAGAGAAATTCATATTTTCAGGATAAACAATAGTGCTCCCAATCGAATACTACACTATTATATGTACTGTATGTGTCTGTGCTAAATTACCTTCAAATCCACTCATAACTTGTATTGCAAAGTTAACAAGTACATATTTTATTGTTTTTAAAATAGTATAGTAGTATAGTACTAATAATAATTTTATTATCATCTTAATTCATAAATCAAGGTTTATACTGCCATATGATCCATGCAATAAGTCTAAAGCGGTATCGATCAGGTGTTTGTTTCTGTAACCGAGTTCGCTAACCCAGTCCCCGGCGATAATATGAATTCTGATACTAGGCCAAAAATACAAACGTGAATGAACAAATTCAAAGAGTTTATTCCAAACAGTCCGCTGCCATGGAAAATTTCGCTTCCGGAATACTAAAGTAAACTTAAGGGCACATATGCTACTTTTTACGACTACCGTATCTAGCAAAGTATTCATATTTCTATCAGATTAACGTTCAAAATGACTATATCAAAACTGGGTTATTTCGTGATATGCACTGAGTGCAACAATTTAAACCAAAATCTTCAGAGTTTAGTATCTCTTTCTGGCTTTATATGTAGAATCTATTATGTTTTTCTATGCATATTATTAAAAAATATACTTTAAACGTATTGTTCATTTAACTTTAAGCAACTTAAAATCGACAGGCATTAGACAGCAAATTGTGAATTTATAAAACATGCCTCTCCTGTCTCTTACTTTCTTATTTACATACAGTTTAACGTAATCCTTGCCTTTAAGAATGTAAAATAACATTTTTCAAGTATATTAAGACCTAACTATTTTGTACAAAATAAAGAGAGGAAAGCTTCATGTCAACGTAGCTTATAATAAAACCGTATTTTTCCAGCCAGATTTTTTTTACCGCACATTCAAGAGATAACTTTGCGTCACAGAAAAATCTCTTAACAAAATCTCACGTTCGTTATATGTGCCACTCCAGTCTGGGCATTTCGAATATATTAGAAGTATGAAGAAACCGTAGAAATTTGATATTTAAAGTTGATACTTATAGTAATAAATAAACTACTGCTGATGTAAAAACTAATTATGTGTTAGTTTGTTTAAAAATCGATGGGTACATTAGGATTTACTTATTAATTATTTACATGTCTCACATGTTGCATTGATATCACGTAATGAAGATATATTAGGTAAGCCGCTTAGCGACAAAAGAAATAAAGGTTTCCAGCAATTCCAATTGTAACGTAGAAGCCGTCTTCGATAATTCATTTAGAGCACTAACAAAGACTTTTCCTCCTCTGAAACAAACGACAATACTTTGTTTTAAACTCATTATTTCTTAAACCAACTCCTTCTAGTGTCTTGTAAGCTGAGCTTACTGACAGACAATATTTATTTCGTATCATATTAAATCTGTCATCCAAAAAGTCTAATTAGCAGATATTAAATTCCTGTCAAGATATTTTGTTTTACAGCGAAAATAAATTATTAATTTTGGTGATAAAATACTGTATGTACTTGTAAATTATTATAATGAAGTTTTCGCTCTGGTTTATTTAAACAATATCTTTGTTAACATTATTTTTGTTGGCACGTTGGTTAAAGTTGGCAGGGGGTAATACGTGTATGATATAGAGGCTTTACTATTTCCAGCCATAAAGTTAGTTTAATGTTTTTGGCTTGACCTCTGATGCGGTAGAATATTAGTAAAATGTTAAATTACACGTTGCAGTATGACCTCAATTTAGGTTTTATATCATGTTCCATATCAAGCGAAAATAATTTATTTGTCAATATAAGTTTAATAAAAATTGTGATGACTGTGTTCTGTTTGCAATTTTTATACAGTAATATTTTGAACTACAAATAACTCGTTATTTCTTTTATAAAATATAATGTGTTATAGATTAAAAAATATATATATATATGTTGGAATGTATCCTTAAACCGTAATTATTTTCATAGTGTTGTCAAGACATTTCATAGGTAATTTTTTCTCGTTTACATACATATCTCTTTCGGTATAAATTATTTTAGTATATAACAGTTAGAAAGAAATTATTATACTTGAATTAAAAATATAATTTTATTTGGTACAATAATTGTGATTCCAACATAATTTGGTTAAATATTTAAATCTAATTAATTTATAAATATTTCAGCTTTTGTAAGTTATTAAGTATAATTATGCTAATTGAATGATATTATAATTTTATAAATATATTAATTGGTATTGAAAATGCATAATTAAAAAAGTAGTTCAGTCCCGTTCTTTTAACCCTTTATTCTAGGAACTTTTTGACACACTTATAATTTTTTTTTGAGTTTTATGTTCTATCCAAATCCTCGAACTGGGAAAATTATTAAAAGCTTTCTCTGAAACATCTATTTTGCTGATTAACCCCTTTCGTTATTCTCCTTAAAGTTGACAGTGACAATAATTGTGTAGAAGATTAGATTTTAATATCAAGTTAGTAGAAAAAGTCTATGTAAATTGACTATTTACTAACACTTCTAGGGATTCCAGCTCTACTTTAGTAAATTAAATTTATATCGCCTTAATGAATTCTTTTAAAATCAAAGAAACCGTTGATAATAAATTGTATCGTTTTGAATATTGAACTTTGTTATCAGTTCTATGCTATATGACTTCCTCATAAAATTGTTTTACCTGTTAATACAGGAAGCTTCAAATATATTTTATGCATGAAAATAGTGCTTATAATACAAGCTTGTCTAATTAGCTTCATATTATACATGTGTAATTTTTAATTAAAATTCAAGTCTGATTTGTAAAAAAGGATTTTTTGTATATATTTTGTATCATCTATTTTGATATAGTATTTGATTGATGAAGATTTAAGACTTTTCTTTCAAAAAATATATATTTTTTTGTAAATTTACAATATACATTTTCCGATAGTGTTTTTCATTTCAGGTAATTTCCACCCAGTAAGAAAATTTGATGGATTCCATACAAGTGAGTAAAATTTCTATTTGTTATTATTATGTTTTTATTATATGTAGTTCGTACTACGTATTTATTAATTTATTTTATAACATTCATTATTTAAATAAGTTTAATTTTTATCAGTTTGTTGTGTTTGTCTCTTCTCTTGACATTACTTTTTGATATAATCGATGGTTACCAATTAAAACTCCGTATAAACCCTGGACAATATTGGCATAGTTAGGCATCATAAACATTTATCCAGGAAACTATTCGCAGAAATGAATTTAAGTGAAGGTATCATCTGCACATGTTACATTGACATGTTACTTCCCTTATTTTATTACAATGCTATTGATAACAACAGCTGATATGAAGTGTGTCGGACTGGAACAGTCTCGTTTCGACAGTAGGTAAGCGAGATATGTTTATAAGTGCGGTTGCATGTGGTGTTGTGTTTTTAAGTTGTTTATCAGTTTTGGTTTGTGCTTGTGTGTATAGTGGAAGGGAAGCATGGGTATGTGTGTGCGTGTTGTGTGTGTGTGTTGTGTGTGTGTGTGCGGCCGCGAGTCTGTGTGGGTGTTCCTCGGTGACGCGAGGTGCGGAGCGGTCGGAGGCGCCAGTTGAGTTCGAACCGTTGCGGGGTTGCCGCGTTCTTGTCGCGTAGAGCCCTGCATCTCGATCACAACTTTGTCTGCTGGAAACTTTTTAAGGCAATTTCGGAAAGGATTATTCTTCCGTGCATATATTGCTGCTGTAACAGTTCAAAGTTGTCGGTTCTTGAACGTTTTCCGTATATTGTGGAGCTGTTTTCACACTACGTCGGTCTATTTTTGAATATTCACTAAACGCTTCACTGCGAAGTTTTCGAAACGCAGCCCGCCAGCCGGGTTAACGGCCGCTGTGTGCAGCGGCTGCATCACATCTCTTGTGTTTTTGTTGACGGATAATATTTGTGGTGTTAAACTCATCTGTGCAATCCGTGACTCGTTATCTGTAAGTATGACCTCGATACTAGCAAGCTGTTATGTCTGTATGAACTTGCAAACGTATCAGTTAGAAAACCTGTTGATCATCCCAATGTTTCACCCTGTGTATAAAAATAAATTAGCAAGGTATTACAGATTTGGATATTATATCGATGATTGCATATGAGAGAGATAACATTATATTACGTTACGATGGCGTTTGTAGTTAGTTATATTAGTAGGTGTACAAATGAATGTAAGTACCTACGTACGCTCCACTGTGAGCTATTGTGTAAGTAGTTATTGTAAAAAAATTTATATGAATTAAATTTAAACGTAGTGTTTGAGAATATAATAATATTAATAGCACATGCTTTTATTATAAAAAATCTAAGTATTGAAATCAAATACATATTTTGAATTTAGGAAATCGATCTATGTTTTGAATATTATTATCTTAGTAATTATTTGATGCATTAAAATGTTATGTAGAAGAAGATGTGAGTGATGTTTTATTAAAGGACCTAAGGACCGTCCTAAGTAAACTTGGCGAAATTGATTTTTGTTGCTGAACCAAACAAGCTGGTTATTTGAACTAACATCTTACGCTATTTTCTCAATAATAACAAAAATATCCCAACTCACTACGCATTACAGTAGAATGTTTGATGGCTGAGATAACTGGCTAAGAAGGTCGAAAAGGTCACAAATGTTTTATCATATCTTGAACTATAAACAACATAATACTAATACTCAAAGTCAATTAGGTTTATACATCTTGCATAAATACATTGATAATAGCGACCATGTAAACAAAACATATTTTTTTATGTTGAGTTCAACGTTGTAAGAACGACTTCTTACCTGGCCACGATAGAATTAACTATTACTATAATAGTTTTTTGTTTATTCGTTCTCATATAAAGAAATAGATTTTTATGTATCAATCTGTTGTGCATATGCGACAGTTTTGTAAACCGCATTTACAGCAGTAGCTGAGACTATCTCCGAGGTCAACCTGGTCAAGATATGATTTATAACATATATAGCGATTTGTATGAATGAATTATCATTAAAAGTAATATTAGTGCACATTTATACAAATAAAAATATATATATTTTTTATATATTCAACGTAACAAAAAAGTTTTAATAAATTTTATAATAATTATCTTTTTAGGTATATAAATTTTTTGTCCAACTTCAAATAAATTGAAAATTTTATTCGAGTTTAGTTTTTAATATTGTCCTGATAAAATAAATTTATTATTATGATTGAAGAACTTTTAAGATTTTTCAATAACATCTCCCTGGAAGCGCTATTTATTCAACAAATTGGCCTTTACTTGTCAATATGGCTTAATGAGAGCCGAAACGTAAATGTCTAATCAAGCATATTGTCGCGGCATTCAGCCAAAATCCATGAAATTAATGTAATCATCTGTATTCATTGAATAAAAATTTGTTCGAAATATTTCTACAAGTGATTTAGTATGAGAGAGAATTAAAGGCAATTTTACAAATAAAATATTGTTAATATGAGATATCAATTGAGCAAGTTCTTGTTAATAAATTGAAATTTTCTAACGATGTACTTTAAGTGCACTCTAGAATTATCGGTGTAGTGTATTGATATTGGCATCCGTCCCATGTATAGAAAGGAATTCGAAACAAATACGTCTATATGGGAAAGTTTTAGATATGAGGCAAAGATAGGCATTTATACATCCAGACGACCTCATTTGAGGCTAAGATACGTCTTCGCAAGACGTTTAAGCTTCTGCTTTATGAATATAAGAAGTTAATAATATATTTGGTAAATCATGACCACAAGCAATATATTTAGAAAATTATAGTTGAATATCTTTTCGGTGTTACGTTTCTAGAGCCAATTTATCTTTGTAATAGAATACAATATGGAATAAACAAAAAGCATTAGATAGCATGTTATTATTTTTCTCTTATTGAGAATCCAAATAATTCGGCCGCAAAGAAATCACACAAACTCACATTACAGTTAGGTAAACGATGCGATTGATTACTGTTTGATATTCCCTAAGCGATTTTTGATGGTCCAAAGTCTGGGAAGGAAAGCAATTTCGCTGCATTTGGTTTCTCCAAAAAGAGATACAGGTTATAAAACAAAAATTTTGAAGATTCCAGAAGAAAAAATTTATGACTTTACGAGAAACAAACGGAATTACATTACAGTACTTAAATATAAGCGATAATGGACGTAAATCTTCTAATGAGTGTCGTAGTACATCGGGCTGTTATCAATATTGATGTTTATGTAACAAAATGTAAACTTTCCCATGTTATTTATTACATGTATATAAATGTATATTTCTAGTTTATAACACGGAAAACATGATGTTGTGTTCCGAGTGATGTTGGCTATATGAACGTAAGCAGTTACACAGATCGTCACGCGATCGCGTCTAACCGTTAACAATGGCTCGTAGTAAATTTTCCACAACTAGAAAATTGTTTACCCACTATCTAGATATTTGTCTAAATACGTCTACTGAATGTTATACAGAGTCTAAATATAAAATATATACAAAGTCATTTATAACGTTATGACTTATTCGAGAGCACAAGGTTCTCATTGAAACGTAAGAATTATTCCACTGGGTTCAACAAGTGATGTGTGTTAACGTACACACATACGCGTTGAACTAACTAAAGAATATATTTCATGCATGTGATTGTTTCAACCGATCGCTTGTTCAATTGCAAAATTGCTTATCCAAGATCCTTAGAGACGACATCTATATACCTACATACACATTTATATGAATACATGAAAATAATTTAATTGTCCGTTAAACAGGATATCTTATAGCGTGTTAGTGATATCAAATTTTATTGTTATTACTCAATTTATTATCTGTATACGAATCTGTTATAAATTTGTTACAAGCCAGTTCTCTCGCAGTCCCGCTATCTCATCTATGGCGTATATCTGGCGCCTTTTAATTGCCCTAGACTAATAATTATTATCAGTTCGCGTGCGCCGCCCCGCCCTCTACGACTAAGATACGCAATTACCACAACCAGTGTACACACACAGATACACACTTAAGCACGTGCTCTAAGTGTAACTTTGACTTGGAAATTTACATATCAATGATAGATATATATATGAAAAATATTTAACTTGGGATTCTAGTGTAAATATCACGCGAGACTTTCTTTAAACAATAGTACGATAAATGGCTACGTTATAATATTTTCTTGTCTTGATTATTGTATGAATCACGAAAAGATTTTGATACAAACCGCTGAACAATTTTCTATAAACACAATAACAGACGGCATTAATTCTAAAGGTGAACCACCTCTTGTAGAACTTCGTCTGTAATAGCAATGATTGTTATTTTCGTTTCAAACGCACAATTTGATAAATATATTCTAATAGTGGAAAATTTGTGAAACTTTAGTATTTCAAAATCCGTTTATATTTGTTTAATACAGCGTGAAACTCGCTCAATTCTCAATCATATTTATAAAACAGTGATATTATTGCTTACTGTTTTATTGGATGTTTGACCTCGCGTTATCGTGGCAAGCCTCCGTCATCGTAACTACCTAATAATCTGTTATCGCATGTGTAATGACGTGTCTAACATTTCAGTATTATTTGAAAATTCTAATATTATATTAGATACTATAGTTGATCAAAACTATTTTTTCTTTTGGACTGTCAGTTTAATTATTGTTGTTTCATGGATTTTACATCTTAGAAGTAGTGATTTAGTACTCAATGTAATAAAATGAACATTTTCTATACATATTCATGCAAAATAAATCATAACTACATAAAAACGTTACAAAATTTTATCTATTGTTCTTATATGATAAAGGAGTAATAAAAACGTTCTTAAAGCGATAACTTGATCGTTTGTAATCGAGTCCATCATTCAACACACGGACCCCACGTGCGCCCACATCTCATTAATTCAATCGATACGCCTTCACTGAAACATTATGTTACAAAATTTACTCATACCTTATTCCTATTTGCTCAACTTGCTTCTAAATGTTTTATTGTACTATTACTGTTGTATTTGAAATCAAATATGTTATTAATATTACATACTCTAGGATTTTATCTATACCAATATGTATAAATCAAATAAGCAGACTCTCAATAAAATTCCCAGTTTTCCGTCGAGCGGGAAGGAGGCTGAAGCTTCGGAGACGGCAGATGCATTTGAAGAACATTATAAATGCATTAGCGTTGTAAAAATCCTCTACGTGTTTTATTGCGTCTGAGACTTTCTGAATACGGTTATTCAAATTAGATTTTTAATAGAAGCGGTGGTAATCATTGCGATATTTGTATTCGTGTTCAAGCGTTTTGTCGTCTATACACTGTTTCCATGGGCGAGGGCGCGACCCCGGGCGTGACGTCACTCTCCAGATGAATGAACATCTACCCTCCGTCTGCCCAGCTCCCTAACGGTCACATTTATAAAAGCTATGAGCTCAGATATCAAAGCCGCAACATCTGTTGTCTAGAGGACTGTTATTGTCTACCGTCTAGTTTTTATTGTATTGAATTTTTTTTCCAATAAATATCATAGTCGAATACACGAAGTTTAATGTCCCCTTGAAAATAATTTTAGTTTAATATGCGATTCACATAAATGTTAGAAAACAGTGGCTGGAATAAACGGGATGACGATTAACATTTCGCGGCCGGTTCTTTATAGATTTAAAAAAGCCCGAGGGTCGTACACTCGAACGAATACCGTATTTGGTCTAACGTGAATCATCCTGTTCGGGCAACTTCATATAGGTACATGTGTGTATACAGGTTATGATCACAGAATCAATAGAAGTGTCATCATCATCATTAAGAAGAATTCAGTTGATTTATTTTGAGTAGAAAGGTCTTATATTGTGTTACTCCAAACATTATAAGGTGTGGCACTTATATATAAGTTTACGGGTCAATCGATAGACATTCACTTTCACATCATACCTTTCTGAGTCATTACTTGATGTATAGGTATTAATCATAGGTCAAAAGTTTTACCTGATGAATATGTATGGTTTAAAATATTTTTTTTTGTAATGATTGATTTCCGTTTAATATTCTATAAGGTAAATGTTTAATGTCCAGCTGTCGGAACAATGATAAATCCTTGTCTGTGTAAGGTGTTATGTTTGATGCGGAGTGTGCACCTTGACCTTCCTCAGCCGGTCTGTGACCGCATGCAAACAAGTCGGCTATAAACTACTTGTTTCCCCAATAGCGTTTCTGACACGCCACTCGTATGTGGCATGATTACAGCCATACCGCATACGTTAGTATTATTTGTATGTTGATTTACCAGAAGTAGAGAGGCTTTACAACTATTATTATAATTTATCATTCATAGGAACATAAAAACTAATTTCAAATAGAACAAAAAGTTATTTCAAACAAATTGTAATGTTGAAATATATTCCTTGTTTTTGTGCTTAAATTTTTATACAATTTGACTTTATCCATCAGTGTTATTATTCTTTACGCGAAAGTAAAAAACTGAGCAGAACTGGTTACGGTTTTGTTTTTCCTTTGGTGTCAGTAATCAAATTCGAAGCCACTTTCTGAGCTCTTTAACGTAAAGAGGTTTAAAGTCAATTTTAAATTATATAAGCATAGAATTGATGTAAAACTTTGATGTTCATGTTTCGTGTTAGTCTCATTGATGCGGAAAAAACTTTCAATAGGATATCCGATTTTTTAATGCCTTCCCATAGAAAATATCCATAATCATTAATATGTGAGGATCAAATTGTGATAGATAGTTTCTCTTATTGCATTTTATATTAAAACAATGGTCAAACATTGAAATAGTGCTACTCTTGTTTCATAACGGCACAACACAAAAAGTTGCCTACGTATTTTTTGTTTCACTCTTTCGTGACGAGCGCCAGCGGAAGCTTAGATTATGGAGCACTTAACAAGAACTATTCAATATGTCTGTCCCACTTTATGGCCAGTCTAATTTCCCTTTTATTTTTGTTTTGTTTGGGGTGGGGTGTTACTACATTTTTTTGTTTTCTTTTCTTTGCAGTTAAAGTCCGCTGTACCCGTGTAGTGTTTGGCCGGGAGGGTGATGGCTACAGATGACCTTTTAGTGGTATTTCCTTGTGATTTGTGGTAGTGAGTCGTTGTGAATAGTGCGGTTTGGTGCAAGTGATGTGACAGTCTATGGAAGTGTCAGGGCGTATTCGGAATGTTCACGAAGCACGGCAGGGCTCCTGAGAGGTGCCATCACCCCTCGCATAGGAGTTGCAAGAAGAAAAAGCAACCCCCGCATACACCCTGGAAGTACTTGATGAATTGCCCACTCGTTAGAAAATGTTTTGGTATAGTATTTTTTTATTTCTGTTATTTTTTAGTTTGGGGTTTTTAAATGGCAGTGAAAAATAGCATCTCATTACGGTTTTACAACTTGCGGTTATTTGTTTCTTTATATAAAGTAAAAGATTTACGATATAGATATCGCAAAATAATAAAAAGTGCCTTAATAAATATCGAAGTAATCTCGTTCAGCAATAAAAATATCTGATTAAATTATAATCTTACTTACTCGTGTTGTTCTCAGAAATAGCTAACTGGTAAACTACTAGTAGACTATTAAAATTTAATCATGACAAAACATATGGGACGGGACTATTAATAGTACTAATAATATTATAGAAGCGAAAGTATGCAAGGATGATGAGATTTACATGTGTGATGTATGAATGTGTCTGTCACCCGAAAAATACTAAACGAAGTTTTACGGAGTTTTATATATATATACATAGCTCGTATACAACAGACAGTTGTAAATTATGATCTTGAGTGTGATGTTCTTTGGAGTTTTTGAATAAGGTTTTAAGTAAATCGTTCTTGTATGACGCTAATGTCTGTTAGGACTAGGAGGTATGTAGTTTTTGCTACATCACTGTTAGATATAAGAAAAGGAGGAAAAATTTATTTACATCTTTTCTACTTCTGAGGTTGTCAATAGGTTTGTTAATATTAAAGTCTGGTTAGGATGGTTTTCGTTGTCTTTGACTGTGTTGCAACACATTTTATTGTATTTGTTTGTCAATTATTTCACTTCGTTATTTTTTCTCTCATGAAAATTACTATTCTTTGTTCTTCAAAGTGAAATGTTTTTAAATATTCGTCTATATTTTGCATCACTTGAATTCTTTATGTTTTAATTTAATTTAATTCTCTAACATTGTTTAGTCGTTTTATTCATTATTCATCAAAGGAATAAAATATTTGGCAACTAAGCGTATTATAAATGTAAGATTAAAAATCAATTGAAGTATTGCTATGTTTAATGCATGTTTCATGAAATTCTCAGACGATCGGTTGATGAACGTACACGACCTTGCGACAGCATTCTGTTGACTGTTGTCCTGGATTTGTTGTTCGACCGGTTGGTCGACTGATCGGGATGTGTGATGTTGCTTTTATAAATTACAATTAAACATTGTAATCAAACTGTTAGTGTTAGGAATCAAATAACTATGTACATCTGAATTAATTTTTAATTTTGTCTTTGAATAAATAAATCTAAGTTTTAAGCATATGTACATATGTATATAAGTTATTCACTTGAATATAAATTTATTGCTATGTAAAAACATTATCATACATAATCTGCTGAACCTAAATCATTATAATATTGACAAATTAAATCACGGAACTTCCATAAATTGTTAAACACAAATGCGCATATTTGATAAGCGCTACATGTTCCAACTTCAATTATTATGCCCAACATATTTGGCGTGAATTAAACATGGTGGCCATTGTTCATTGTTTTGTAATTGTATTGACAATGACATCAATTTTTTTTAACGGCCTGCACATCTCAAGGGCGGAACTTTTTCCTCATCTAAACTAACATTTGGATGTATTGGGAACGTAAACAAACGTAAGTTGGACTGATCTCTAAAATTCTATAGATATTTTGTACAAAACAATCCATCTATTACAATACTTCAACATCGTAGTTTGCATCACCGGAATCAAAGAGTAATAACATAATTAATTTTAATAGCATGTCGATAATAAAATAATGTCACTTGTTTCCGTTGGCGCCAATGAAAAAATATACAATGTACATATATGAAGCTTATTTTTATGTTACCGGTGACAGTTGCCGATAAGAATTATTTACGTATGGTAACACTTTGTTGTAGTGTCACTAAGAAAAATTTATTATTGTCCTTTAATAAATATTATATTTTATAGAAGTTTTTGATACGAAGTACTTTTATAGCTTAAATATAAGAATATCGAATTACTTGGTTGACTTGGTTGTTCCTCCTCACAATAATTAGAAACAGTAAATATAAAATTATTTTCTATACTCGGGATCTTTTGTCTGAGTTGACGTATGAAAAAATATATAATTTACAGCTATACGATAAACAAACGGTAAACAAAGTAAGCTCAGACGAACTTTTTTCTACTCTCCGAGCGATTAGCTAGTATCAGTCGGTCGATTTGTCGGCCGATTTGTTGAGTGAGCACACTTGTTGCGCTTTTGCTGTAACAGCTATGTCCATATGCGTTCATTAAGCCAACCCTATAGGAGCATTCAACCATTGAAGTTTCTGCTTATGTTACCATGGAACCGTTTATTGATCTGTGTCGGAATATTCTAAATATACATTATTGATATTCGAATATTTATGTCCGTAGAAACCGTTATATTTCGAGCTATTTACGTAATACTTGTAAATAGTTCTCAAATTATTATAATTATATCACTTCAATAGAATTATTTATTTATAAGATATGTTTTAACAACGAATTTAATATATTTTGTCTTGTACATATTGTAGGTAAATTCCTTAAATGCTCAATATATAATCATAAAACATATCTTTAACTAAAAAAGGATGATGTATGACATAGATGTAGATGTAGTACTTTAACGAGTTTTTAATGCTTTGTCACGCAAAATTTATAGCTGCTGGCGCCAAGCAGTAGCCCATATAGCAGTAAATTATTAGCATGGTAAATGTATTACATTATATGTGAACAGTCCATAATGACATGAGTCGTGATCACCTCGATAACAAGAAGCTTAATTTTTATGCTCGTAAAACCGGAGGATGAATTTATAAACACCTGATATAATGTATGTTTCCTTTGATGTGTTCCAATTTTGAATTGGGTTATTTCAACAATTTTTACCCAGTTACTTTCATCTAGTTTTAAATGAAATAGGTTTTATGGAGCCGGTTTAAAATATATATTACGATTTTTGATTATTATATTTCATTAGTTTTTGCCCGCGACTTCGTCCGCGTTAATTTCGTCATTAGTAATATACATATGTATAGCTAACCGGGCGAACTCTATTCCATCTTAAATAACCAGGTATTGGTATTTATTAAATTTTTCCGGTTTCAATCGAACAGAATGATTGACATATTAGTTAGTTGTCAAATCTAATGTAAAAAAAACGTTTGTTGTTATGTATGGTTTGTATGAAATAGAAAAGGGCTGTTTTTAGGGTTTTTCCGGCAATTATTAAAATTTTTCTCACCTTTTAAACCTTTCCTGGACTTCCACGAGTATTTCAAGACTAAAATTAGCCAAATCGGTTCAGCCGTTCTGGAGTTTTAGCGAGACTAAGGGACAGCAATCCATTTTTATATATATAGAAGAAGAAGATTAGTATACCTTTATTTTTATTTCAAACAATAATTTAATTTGTTGAGAAATAAAATAAAATCTGTTACATTTTTATTCAATTTGCGTATACCTGGATCGGGCGGGGCATGATTTTTCCCGGATGAATATTGAATACATTAACATTGTTTAGTATTCGCGACTGGTTGCTCAGATTGCCTTGCCTTGTCGTCTTGAAGACCTTTTAGCATATTGCACCGCCATTATTATGTTTATTTCCAATTATATACATTACTATATCATGAACACGTCTAAATAAATATTCTTACAAAGATTCGGGTTCAGTAGAATTGTTCATCTATACTACAAATTCTGACTTCCATCGCTCTAATGTGATTGGTTTGATCGATGTTTTATTAAATTAGAGAATGTTCTAGAATAACAATGTAGATTAAAACAGCATTATAGTTACGTAAGAATCACTGGAATCTCATTATCTCTTTAGTTATTTATATGGCTTCTCTTCCACCGACCCAGAGCCTTTCTAGTAATTTTAAATTAAATACGACACAGATTGCTGTGGAACGAATATGTATTAATATATTGTGATTCATATTGTTTTCCTGTCATTTAATATAAAAAATATTGGCTCAAACGTTAACGAGATACCTACTGTTACAGTTTACAGAATACTTAGCGGTCAACAACCCTAATGATGTTGACGTTTCGGTCACTGACGTATCGTTCAAATAGTTTATTCATAATACATATGTATAAATGTTTGTTATTTTTTTAAAGACAGTGCGTTGGTAGATCTAACTTCTTTAACCTTTGCGGTCATTAATTACAATTGGTTTTATAACGCTTAATGTTTGCCCACGCGTCGACCTGAATGCCCTCGGTGTTGTGGAGGCAACCCTAATTTTGATCCTAATTTGAAAAATTATTATCCTGGTCTGTAAATGAAGTTAGATAGGCAATACATTGGGACTATAATGTGTTCGTCTACACTCTACAGGACCAATGTTATGTCCAATTATGTTTGATGGAAAAACTCAATTTTAATACTTTATATATTATAAAGAAATATTTTTACTTATTACGATTATACAATTCTCTGGTTCTTCTTCCGCTGGGTAATTTGTGTATGGTAAATATTCTTTGAGATCTGGTTGGAAATGTTGTTTATATTAGGAGAAATTCTGCAATGAATAACTTCACAAATCTAGGAATAAGATACGTAATTGGTGTTACAAAGAAATATTTTGTAATAATTAACTACAATGCCTAAAATGGCCTTCATATAAATAAACGTTATATCTTTATTAGTTTCTTCAAAACAATACATCCTTCATGACATATTTGAACATCGTATGAGATCAATTAATTTAATATCAGCCGAGGAAGCTTCTCAATTAATGAATCATAACAGCACAGATGTCTAGCGAAGCAAAAATTTCCTTCCACCAATTTGCTAGTATTTAACATTATAATATAAATTTAACGTGACATTCCTTGAATTCTTACCTCCGTTCGATACATGAGACACGTACCCTTGCAACGAGTTTGTTGTTTGCCTCGTACAACATTATTGGTACCACTACATCCATTCATAAATAATATCCACCTCGTGAACAAACTATTAATCAATGACGTTCTGTTTTGTGCTGTCATTGTATTGTAGCAAGTTTAATGTGCACCATCTTCTTGATCC